GATCGGAAGTTAAAAAAAAGTGGATCGGTGCATCCCTATTTTTTAACCCCCACAGTAAAAAATTACCAGGACCGCTGTCCTCCGTCTGTGTGATAGCACAAAAATTAGAATAATCTTGTCCAAACATGATGCTTAAATACTGGTCCATGCATTTGTCACATCTAGAATGGACTATAGCAATTCTTTATTATCTGGGTGTCCATAAAAACCTTTTAAAAGTCTTTAGTTGATCCAAAATGCTGCTACCAGAGTTTTTGTTAGCGTTGGTAGGAGAGATCATATCTCTCCAGCTTTAGCTTATCTTCATTGGCTCCTTGTCCAATTCAGAATTGATTTCAAAATCTTACTTCTAACCTACAAAGCTCTCAACAATGTAGCTCCATCTTATATTACAGACTTTACTGTTCCATATTTTCCTAGCAGAGCACTTCACTCTCAGACTGCAAATTTACTTTTAGTTCCTAGAGTTTCCAAGAGCAGAATGTGAGGAAGATCTTTCAGTTCTCAGGCTCCTCTCTTGTGGAACCAACTTCCAGTTTCTGTCCATGAGGCTGACACATTGTCTGCTTTTAAGATTAGGCTTAAGTTGTTCCTTTATGATAAATCCTATAGTCAGATTGGGTTTCCTGAGCTATCCCTTAGTTATACAGCGATAGTCTTAGACTTCAGTAGGACAGCATTCCTCACTCTGCTGCTGTCTTTACTTGCTCTAATCTACCTGTTTGAATTTGTAATTATTTCTATCTTAACATGGTTTTTTTATCTTTCTTTCAAGAAGGTACACCTGGACCTGCCATTCTGTGTCTGTTCCTCCTTCCTGTCCTCTCAAACCCCAGCCAGTCAAAGCAGATGACCGCTGGTCCTGAGTCCTGCTCTGCTGGAGGTTTCTTCGTGTTAAAAAGGGAGTTCTTCCTTTCCACTGTCTCCTTTGTGCTTGCTCAGGATGGGGGACTACAGCGAAATGAAGAGTCAGTGCAATCTGCTGCCTTTGTTAGACAGATGTGAATGCTTTTGTTCAGTGTCCTGACATGACTTCTGTTGTGACTTGCCTCCAAGGCCGGATTAACCATATGGGCAACTGGGCAAGTGCCCAGGGGCCCACGATCTCTAAGGGTCACAGGGCAGTGAGGGCACAAGCAGAATATCTGGTTATCTCCTGCCTTACTTGGAGCCCTGCGCTGCACAGGGAGACTGCTGCGCTTCCACCACACTTAGGCCGCCCCACCTCCTCCCAGCACTGCTGCAGCAGCTGTCGGGTTTTTTTGTTTGGTTTCTTTCACCTGGATCCTTGACGGTGCGACCTGTCAATCAACTCAGAAGGCGTGTCAGTAACTGACCAATCGACAACCTCAATTTGTTCCGAAGGTAAACGCCCCTTACCTGCTGACAAGCTCATCTGTTTTTTTTCTAGAACTTTATTAACAACACAAAATAGAAAAATGCAACAATATAGAAATACAAACTTGTGAAGGTTGTCATAACTACATTTCACAAAATAACGAAAGAGAAAAAAAATAACGTAAAAAATCATATAAATAAAAAAACAAAGGAGTGCGATTATATGAGAAACTCATTGTTTTAATTAAAACAATAAGTTTGTATCTGTTGCGAGATGATTCTAGCAGTTTGGCAGATTTTTAATCTACTTAATGAAGAATAGTTTGAATTAAAATCGTTCATAAAACAGGAAGGAGGACTTATTATCCCTCCTCTTACTACAGTGAATGTGGTACTTTGCTATAAGTACAACTATATTTATGGCATCAGAGAAAGCTGAGCTTAAGTTATCCACATAAAGTAAAATGTCATCAGCATGAAAAGAAGGAATGTTAAGTTTGAGATTAATCCAGTTTCTGATGTCTGACCAAACACTTTGTACTGACATGAAAACAATTGCTCGAAGGATTCATCTTGTGATTTACAGAAGACACACAAATCAACATCAAATTGAAGTCTTATTTCAAGAAACATGGTTACAGGATATATCTTATTTATTATTTTAAAATGATTCTCCTTCACTTTAGGAGATTTAGGCCATTTGACAAATTTAGAATGAGCAGAAGTCATACTGGTTTTATGATTTATACTGGGAGGTTTCTTGAAGGAAACTTTGTTATACTCAGTAAATCCTTTGTCGCAAACATTCATTGATTAATTTTAATTTAATCTTATTTCATTTGAATTCAACTAAGTTGCAGTCATTTAATTTTAATGTGGGCAGCAAATCGTCATATTTGAATATATAATATTTTTAATTAATTGAATAAGCTGTTGGTCAGGTTACTTCTTGTTGGGTCATTAACTCTAAAATAGTTACTGAATCAAGTGTTTACTTATGTAGGTAAAACTAGATGTTTAACCACCGTTAAAATACACCAGAATGCAGGAAATGGCATCTACTACCCCCCCCCCCCCCCCCCTATCAGTGTGGTCTCCCCACACACACACATTACAAATGCTTCTGACACCAGTGGCCAACACGTTGCTAAACAAGTACACATGGTGTCATATGGTGTTCAAAGTGCGTTCAACTTAACTCAGTCTTGATGATTTGCGTCAACAAGAGAACATAGTAGCATTTATAGTTCTATGAGCATTTGGATATTTATACATAAATATACACTTGATAGAATTTTAAGTATATTTACTGTATATTATGGTAATTTATTCTGTATTTTACCAGATTATGGTGATTCTGGGGTCGTGATGATGGGGCCCTTGAAGATTGTTGCCCAGTGTACAGCGAAATGTTAATCTGATCCTGCTTGGCTCTATATAAATTAACTGATTTGAATTGAAGTGAATTTTAGAGGGGCGGCACGGTGGCGCAACTGGTAGAGCTGCTGCCTCTCAGCGAGAAGGTCCTTGGTTCAAACCCCGGTCCAGGGGGCTTTCTGGGTGGAGTTTGCATGTTCTCTCCGTGCATGCGGGGGGTTTCTCCGGGTGCTCCGGTTTCCTCCCACAGACCAAAAACATGCATGTTAGGCTGATTGGTAACTCTAA